ACAGATTGGTTGTGCTCTAACTTTTTGTTCACAAAACGTTGCAAACACACAACCTGGAGATTAAAGTTAAGTCAGCTTTGACATGCCCGAAGCACGAAGCATTATTTAAGTCTATAACCTGTTGCGACGTAAGAAATACAGAAGGTGCTACAATTCTCCCCCCCCCCCCCTTTAAACGAAACCAATAACAACACGCCATTCTATGCCGAATGCTGTCAGTGGCATTCGACATTCGGCGTAGCTTTGTTTGTTTTTGCGAGCGCCAGTCTGGGTAAAAAGATGCTGACGGATGCTCCTTTCTTTTGACTGAAGCCACAAAAATGGCGCGTTTGTACTGAGGGGCGGTGCGATGATATTTCGATCGGAAAATCTAGGGGCGCAGCCTTATCGACAAATTTCTAGAATGTAAAAAAATATATTACTCATCAGCGTTTTTTTTTTTCAAAATATTGTATGAAATTAATGGCATTCTTTATGATCTTTAACAAGAAAGTTGGTCGCTGAAGACAAATTGTTTGTTGCCTAGCTGAGGGCGGAGTACTTTCCTGGTGCTTTATCAAAATTGTAAACAGCTCGAGGGGTTTTCTTCCTGAGAAATGTTTGCTCAAAACAAACAAGATCAGACAAGGAGTAGGGGTAACTCTTCACGCAGGAGTTTAAAGATAAAGCACGGTAAACATAGGGGAGGGTCCAGAAAACAGGGAGAAATATCACAAGCAAGAATGAAATCTAGAAATAACGCGCCATGTTTGCTGCCGGCTTTTGTGCAACGCGATTTACCCTTTTTAATCATGTTGGAACAGAAGCATCGGCCACAAACAACACACGGTTATCCTTGAGAGTCCAGAGATTCACTGTTCGCATAGAATTATATTTTTAAGGGGACAGCACATTTATTTTTATTCTCTGGGTCATACTAAAAAAAAAGAGTTGTATCTAATTGTTTTTAATTTATCTAATATAGTCAGGGTACTCTCGGATATTCTTTACAATAAATAAATTATTCGCCGGTATTTAGAAAAAAAACTGCCGGTGCTTCTATTTTTTTTCAGATGACTCGGCAAGTTTATTTGTATTGTCTACGAAGTGAACCCAACGAATGACGAAGCAGGATCAAGATTTTACCTACAGAATGACTTCTTCTACTTAGAACCGAACACCCCGTTTCACATAGAGTGTCATGCTCAGTGCCCCTATCGCAGATGAAATTTTATGGTCGAAAGGGTTTTGAATTTTTTTATTAAAAAAGCTAATCTTCATAGATAGTAGTGATGCTCTGCAACTGTGTGCAAAAAAAAAAATGGACTCGCATCCGTATTTTAGAACGTCGAAAACATATTAGGATGGGATGGTGAGGAAAATTAGGCTTCCTCATATTCACTCCTTTTCAATATGCTATCACTGAAAAAATATTTTCTAGGAAACTTTGGACAGGTATAGGTTCACTGCTGTGTAATGGGCGTTCCAATGCTTCTTGTTTGCATACGATATCAGACTATTGTGAATTGTGGCTTCTTAATATATAAGTACTAAGCTCCCAAGGAGCGGTCATGAGCTGCATGCTCCGCATCTGAGCCATCCATGGGTACATTACTTATAAAATGTAATTTAGTTGCTATTAGTATTACTTTGCTCCAGATGTAGTTTAACTATAATTACTATTACTACTACGTACAAAGTAATTCATTAAATTAAGAAGTTACCTTTAAAAATTAATGCAATTACTTTATAATTCCTTATCTCTGAGAGCGAACCAACTATGGCCATATAACTTTAAATGAGTTGCTTAGAAAACAGTGCATCTGCGCACTCCTTGCCCAATGTTTGGGTGTATAAAGCATTTCTGTTTTGTACGTACCTTTTATAAATTTTGTTAAAATAATAATATAACTTGACTGCTTGGAGTAATGAAGTCCTATTTTCTTATGTTTTCAATAAATATTAATAAATTAGTTCGTATAGTCGAAGACGCCAGAACGCTAAAGTAAAATTGGGTTGACAGACTTGTGCTAGCCCGGCAAATAAGAATGCTACAATTTGTCATATCTTAATATTTTAATTGTGTTAATATAAAACTGCAATCTGCACGCGCTAATACGACCGGATTCACCTATCAACATTTCTTGTTATTGTAAATTATTTACACTGAGTTGAAATTATAATGGATCAGAAACATATAAGAACCAAATCGGGGTTCTCGAATGAATGGTGACAATATTCACAGGTGCGAGGTCAGTCTCCAAAATGATTATTCAAATAATTTTTGAAGTAAGGTGAACGGGAAATAAATTTGAAAACAATACAAAGAAACACATATGCGACAGTACTGGAAGATGGACGTAAAAACTGGCAAAGAAATCAAAATAGCATCATAGATAATAAAAATTCCCAACTTCGGCTGAAAGCTGAAGCAGAAAATTAGTTTTTATCTCTCAATATTTTGGCATGTCTATGATATTTCTTTCTGCTCATACCGCAGACGGCGCTACACGACGCGGTTGATGTAGTTTCCAAAGAGGACTGTCTCTCAGCCCTCAGCGTAAGCGGCAAAACAACAAACAACGCGGCTCTATTTCTGTTGTGCGTGTGTGTGCGTGCATTTCTGTGCGTATGAGTGTGTCACCGAGCGCTGGGGCCGCTTGTGCGAGAGCCTAGGCTTTGAGAGAGGTTCCGTCGGCGCCTGTAAGTATTGCGAAAGTAATCGTAAGTGTGCCTGAAATTTGCCAATTACTGACGCTAGAAAGTAATTAAACAACGACTACAGTCAATTTTTGCAGAAAGTAATGAAATACAATTACAGATCATCAAAAATTAGTTAAATTACTGTGATTGAATTACTGCCGAAGTGTGATTTGAACCCACTTTTGGCGACGTAACCATGGAGGCATGGGCTTGTCCTGCGCCACTGGCGCTCTCAGCCAGCGGAGTCAAGCGTAGCGGATTCACCTTATGTAATATCAAGCGGAGAGAAAAGCTATTGACACTCTTACTTCTCAACTGACCTCACGACTCCTTTCAAATCTAAACGCAAAAAGTCAGTACGAAAAAAAAAGACTACGAGTTTCAAAGCAATCATGCTCACAAGAAAACTGATGCTCTAGAAGAAAACGCGAACTTTTGAAATTACAGATTTGTCACGAAGCCTCGGCGATTTTGAAGCAAACTGGCATCGTTTACAGATGAATCTGACATGAATATGCCACAGAAAAAGCATTACCTGTCTTTATTATGAATTATTTACAGGTGACGTATGATGTAACATACATGTTTATGCTTTACGTGTAACACGCGTGTTTTGTGTTATTGGTCATTTCTTGATGCAAGCATTAGAAATACCATTATGATGTACGATGGATCGTCGTTTGCCGCAAGCGTGCCAAGAGTATTGAGCCGAAGTGAATTAATTTGGGAACCAGAACAAATGTAACCTTTGTCTTTCTTCATTACAAAACAAGTGGGATTTTAAGGCCGATCATTAATTTTTTAAGTAAAACACTGCAATTCGAGCTTACTGCCTTTATAGGAACGTGTCATTCGAGATATGACGTTCAGTCTTCAGATCTTTTTTTTTTTTTTCTTTTAAGTATAAACTTATTGGGGTGTCTTCAGATTTCATTATATGAAGTCTTGTGCGCAACATGAATTTTGTTTAAGGGTATATCAACACTCGTATAATACATATATTAACTTATCACCGAATCCCTGAAAGAAGTTCTTAGTTATTTAACACAGAGGTGATAAGTAGTCGCACATTTCCGAAGTAGAAAATCCAGCACAGGAAAGTTGGTGCAGCATTTAACTGAAAACCCCATGACTGGAACGAGAAGGGACGGACAAACACAAAGTCTCTAACACAATCTAACCACCACCAGCTCGTTTGCGTCCTAACATTTGTTCACTAATTGGTACAGCAATCGCAATACAATATTGTTATGTTTTGTTAATACTCTTGCTGCGTACGCGCCGTACGAGCCAGCGGTAGGAGCCATGTTCCCTCACCGACGGAGAGTCACCCGACACCCCCGGTTTCACGAGCGAGGCCGGCGGAGTTTCCCTCTCCCGCGTTTCTCTCCTGGCTGAAACAAAAGCAGCGGCGCAACACTGCCACTCCCCGGCACGCAGAAGTTGTTCTGTGCTGGTTTTGGAATAGACTCTTTCCTTTCGCTCTAATGAACCCAGTTAACCGCAACTTGACTCAGATACCGTCACTCTTAAAATAAACATCAAATGATGACGAGAACGACGATATCGAAACCCCCATCCAGCTTCCCAATAGCTGTCAAGGGAAGTCCCGCTGGTTTGTCATTTGTTTTTCTCGGAAAGAACTCGCAACTGAAAGAAAGTTGGCGACTATCGGCACCGCCCTGCGTACGACGCGGAGGTGGAGCCATGGACGAAGTACGCAGAACGCTTGGAGCAGTTCCGCGTCGGTAAACAGATTATCGGCGACAAGCAGAAGACCGAAATCTTTCTGTCTTGCGTAGGACCGAATACCTACGGGTTACTTTGAAGTTTATCGACTTCCATAAGGCCAAGTATAAGGACGTTCGAGGAGCTCGTGGAGGCTATGAACCAGCACTTCCCACCGAGACCATCCGAAATAATGGAACGGTAGAAGTTCAATAGCCGTCCCCCCCCCCCCCCCCCCAAAAAAAAAAAAAAAAAGGCGGAAACCATTTCGGAATTTTTTGCAGCTCTGCGGAAACTCACCGTGTTCTGAGAGTGCTGCGACACCCTCGACGTTATGATTGGGATCGACTGGTGTGCGGTGTGCACGGTGTTGGAGTGCAGAAGAGACTGCTGGCAGAGTCAGCGCTCACCTTGGAAAAACTAAAGCGCATAGCACTGACTGTGGAAACCGCTAGCAAGAAGGCATGGGACTTTAAGGAACAAGGCCCAGACTACCGCCAGGTCAACAAGTGAGCGAACGAGGTGTAAAGAATAAGCATGTGGGACGCTTCCCACGAAGCGAAGCACCCCAGTCTCAAGGAAAACAGCACATGAAGTGCGGACGGCGTGACAATCACGATCACAACCCTAAAAAGGCCCCTTTCATGTCAAGCGTCTGCTTTAAGTGTGAAAAAACGGGACACCTCGCAAAGGTGTGCATGTCGCGCTCTCAAGCAAGTGGTTGGGCACACCAAGATCAGGGCCACGTCGTCGCTGCAGCGCGATTGGCACCCGGAGAGGAATTGGATCTTCGCGCGATCAACAGCGTCAGTGAGCTGCCGGTGCACAAACCATGGAACATCCCGCTGAGTGGGAACGGAGTTCTTGTCACTATAAAAGTCAACACCGGTGCCCCAGTATGGATCATTTCGGTGAGTGTTCCAACAAAATCATCAGTCATGGCAAAAACTGGCCTTTCGTCAGACGAAGCTATCATGCTACCTGGAAGCCCTACCAGTAAAAGAGTTACCTACATGAGGTTGGAACACAAAAGACAGAGTGCAAAGGCGTCAGTTTACGTCTTGGACTACAATGGACCGAGTCTGTGCGGCCATGAGGTAACTGGAGCGCTACGTGTAATCCAGACGATCAACTTCGCTGAGGTGGAAGACCGGGTCTTCGAACTCAAGACGAAGTTTCGCGAGTTGTTCAAGCCTGGAATAGGTCAAATGGAGGAACCATCAGTGCACCTGCACCTTGACTAAGACGCAGGACCAAGTAAATCACCGACAAGCCAAGAGCAAGTCGAAAAGCAACTCGAAACAGGATCGCTTTCGGTGAAACAACTCGCGGATTTGACAGCGGCGGACACAGAGTTGAGGGAAGTTCGATCGACTATCCTGTAAGGATGGCCAACTCAGCCAAAAGATCCCACTCTCGAACCCTTCTGGTCCCGTAGAGCGGAGATGTCGGTGGAGGCAGGACCCGTGGCGGGGGGAGAAGAGTGGTAATTCCACGAAAAGCAAGGTAAGCAGTGCTGCTGGGGCTACACGACGCCCACTCTGGGATGGCTGTGATGAAGTCCCTGGCCAGGTCGCTCTGTTGGTGGCCAAACATGAGTCGCTACGTCGAGAACATGGCTCACGACTGTCATCAGTGCCAGGAAGCGCCAACCATGCCGCCCTCAAGGGAGCCACTGTCGTGGCCAGCAGCGGCCATTCCCTGGTTAAGAATCTATATCGACTATGCGGGGCCAGTCGACGGATAAATGCTACTAATTGCAGTAGACAGCTACTCTAAGTGGATGGAGGCTGTTTTGGTGAAGAATGCCACTTCCGAGGAAACCGTAGAAGTAATGTGAGGATTATTTGCTCGATTTAGAGTACCATATACACCGTATCGTTTCGCACAATGGCACCCCTTTCATCGGACAACCCTTTAAGGACTCCACGTTCCAGAACGGCGCGTGACACGATCGAGCTGCACCTACAATCGAATGGACTTGCCGAACAAGCGGTGCTAACGATGAAGTCGGCGCTGAAAAAGATTTTCGGCGAAGGCCTACAAACAGAGCTGGACCGCTGGTCGCTTTCATACCGGCGAACACCCAACACGTCAGGAAATTCTCCGGCAGAACTCTTGGTAGGACGTCAGCTACACTCGAGACTGGACCTCGTTAACCCCGCGCGGCAGGAGCAAAAGGAAGCATATCAACCTCAGACCACCATTGACAAAGGATTTAGACGAGGAAGAACCGTGCTTACCCGCAACTACGTATCGGGTTCCCGTTGGATTCCGGGAGTCGTAAAAGAGACGAAGGAAGCGCGCATGGCAGTCGTTACTACACCAGACGGCGATTTTGTCCGACACTCCGACCAGATAAGGTTGGAGACTCCGCAAATGGAAACACCAACTTCTGAGGACGGCCTATGGATGGACGACGTCGGCATTCCCAAGACGCCAAGCATGTTCGTGCCAAGAAGGTCAACTCCTCCGAGACGGAAGCCTTCGGGGTTTCAAGCCGCTTGACGGAAACTAAGGGTGGAGGAGTGCTACGTACACACCGTACGAGCCAGCGAGACGGGCTATGGTCCCCGACCGACGGAGAGCCACCCGACAACCCCGGTTTCACGAGCGGGACCCGGCGAAGTTTCCTTCTCCTGTCTCTGTCCTGTCTGGAACATGCGCAGTAGCGGATCACCACCCCGTTCCCCGCCAAGCAGAAGATGCTCTGTGTTGGTTTTGACAAGACGATTTTCTTTCGCTCTAATAAACTCAATTAACTGCAAGTTGACTTGGGTATCGTCACTCTTAAAATACATATCAACTGTTAAATAACATTTTATTGCGTTCCTATTTATCCGTCTGTTTATAGGGCAGCTGGCTGTGAGTGTCTCCCTCAATGGTACCAATAAATAATTATATTTAGTCAAAAAATAATGATTATGACTAAGTTTTGCATCTTGGAATCGAGCTTAAATTATATTATATCTCCAGACGTAAGGTGTTCTATGGGGATTACAAGAATAATGTTAGATATGTAATGAATATTTTACATCCTGCCAGACGTGCTGTACGAGATAACATAATATAACGATGAAAAGCAAATAGCACCATAAAAATATCTAAAATTTGTTCCAGATTCATCTCACGTTCAAGATTGTTTCTCTTAATGATAATATCGCCTGACATTAAGAATATTGCGCTTTTTAAATACGGATTTGTTTTAGCGTTGATTTGATATATAATCCATGCCATACCGCTGACAGTAACAACATTTTTTTCCTCTTCACTAAATCAGGTGAATTATCTCAGAGAGGGGCTAGGTACTTACTTTCTTAATATAATCAATACAAACAAAAATCTATTTTTATTACCACATGAATGGAAGTTTCAAAAAACACGTACAAAGCTTCATTCTTTTGTGATGGAAATCTGAGCCTGGCGAAACACACAAACACAATATCTATCTGTAACAATGGTCGAAGTTTCAAAATCCATCTTCGGTCCTTTAGAAATAATAAAACAAAAAAAGCGAGAGAATGAAACGTTTGTCGCCAATACGTTTTTTTTTTTAGTTTCGTTCTAGTCGGGAATTGGCCGAGCACATATACTTTTTTTGAAAGGTTTAGAATATCGATCGTTTTAATCCCTTTAAAATCAAATTGAGCACATACTAAACCACTCAACATCGTCGACTCCGCAATTTTTTATTACGCGTTGTCTGAATTAGAGGGATACGGCGAGTTCACTCTACCTCAATCCAAACACATATCCACATTCTCCGAGTTCTCAGATGACCGCGGTCATCCGCCGTTCCTCCCCCAAACTTTCTCTAATCCAGGATGCGTATATTTGTTTGACCTGTCATATTGATTCACGACCATTTAGATACGAAGGATGGGTCGACATGTTGATCCTAGGGCTGTCTCCGCGTCGTACGCCTATATATTTCCCGACCCTGCAGCGGCCAACATATCCGGGCGCCGTTACCACAGCGGCCTGATGCTCATGGCTTGCCGGCGCGGAAGCAAGTACCGCGACAGCGCTAGACCTCCCGCCGCAGCTCGCGATGCACCGCAGCAATCACTTCGAGCCATCCCGGCCAGTCAAGCTCTCTGAACGCTTGAGGGGACTAGGACTTCCACGCGTCGCGGCGGCGCATTTCCCCAAGGCCACGTGACATTCAGGCGGCATGCGATTCGTTTCTCAGTCTCGTAGTTCCCTTAACGGTTCATCGTAGGATGAAACGGTGTACTATTGCTTCTTTTCCCCCTACAACGCCTCTTTCACTCCTGCATGCGTTTACTTATCCTTCGCGCCTTGTGTGCGTGCGTGCGTGCGTATGTGCGTACGCGCCTCCGAGCAGGAGTTCCGGAGGTCGACATAGCCGGAACCGTGTCCGCACTTTCATGCGGCCGTGATCCGTGTTTGCCCCAGTCGACATCGACCTCGGGCCCGAAAATGGGCTCGAGTATACAGCGGCGCGTGACAGGGACCATCATCCAGGCACGTTGTGGACTGCCTCCATCGTGGGAGGCGTATCGTCCGCGGTTTTCCTGACTTCGTGTCTTAACCGACCGGCCTTGATTGCGCGGTGACTGGTTCGAAGCTTTGAAGCTGCCTCCCACCCATTCCATTCACTACCTTACACTGAGTAAAGGTATACTAGTTATTATTAAAGCGTGAAATGGTTTTGAACGAAACCTCCAGTCCCAAAATTATGTCAGTCCGTCCCTCCGAGTATTTTCCGCTAAATTTAGCGGAGAGATGAACGTGGCGTAACCTATACACCAAGTGAAGATATTAACTTCGAGCTATCTATACGTCAATTCAGTTTCCCAATTTTATTTAGTGAGAAGAGATATGACGAACTTAGAAGTTTTATTCTGCAAAGTGGTTGTTCAAGGAGTATCACTTATCATTTGTGCAATGTATAGGCCACCAAACTCTTCGTTAGGTGTACTTTAAAAGTTGAATGATAGCCGAGAAAAGTTTGTTAATTTTGGCAGTAACTTTATTTTTGCGGAAGATTTTAATTTCCCAAATGCTTATTGGCCAGACATATCGGTTAGTATCATTAATCGTCAATATGGTTGAATGTGTTTACATATTTTTTTTCTTAATTTAGTTCAGGTCGTTGAGGACTTTACTAGAATTTAGGGTACTTCCCCATTCCACTCTTCATCTTATACTTTTATTTAATCCCCTATCTAGCCACGACTATCTATGTAACATTTATGACGGTGTTTCCGACCAAAAAATTATATCGATCCCTAATCCGTTCGATAAACTTAGATCTTCACGTGAATAGTGCACCAGACCATTGCAAAGCGGGCGATAAAGGCGTCATCGACGACCTCGAAGCGCCATTGTTTAATTTCACTCAATTTTGCAGTACTTGTTATAGAGACATTGATCAAATGTGGCTTCGTTTTTGGACATTGTTAAAATTTGTGTCGCGCGATATGTTATTTTTCGTCAAAAGAAGATTCATGTGAAAACTCCATTAATTACTAGAGATATACTCCATCTCGAACAAAAAATTGTCCAAGTTAAAAAAAAAAAGACATCATCCATCAGGGAACAGCTGATTGTAAACAGGTTACCGTTATGCAGCAATTAAGTACCTAATTAAAGAACATAGTATATAAATAAAAAAAAATTTTAACGAAACGGTGCGCTCATTTTTGACAAGTGCGCCTCAGAAGTTTTGGCTTTAAGTCGCGCCTAACAAAAAATAAATTTTGGTTTCTGCAATTGCTGTTTTTTCTTTCTACAGATTAACTCTTCTTTTAAATCTGTCATTACGAGGGACAACGGTTTTCTTTTTGACTTCAACGACAATACTATTCCTGGTATACAGATTATAGAAATCTCCGAAGCTGCTATATTTAACTTGCTGAACAATTTTGACCCAAAGGAAAGCTCTGGGTCCGATTCCTTGCCTAATGAGTTCTTAAAGCGGTAAGCAGAATGGGCATCGAAATGTATACACATACATTTTACGGCTTGTCTACAACATCCGGTTTTACTTACGCATTGGAAGAGAGGAAAAATATTCCCCATCCACAAATCTGGTAATCGTAATAATGCAGCAAATTACAGACATGTTTCATTAGGTAGTACTTGCCGTAAACTAGTTGAACATATAATATTTAAATACGTGATATGATATCGCGAAATCCATATTATTCTTGTTGCGTCTCAACATGGCTTCGGTAAATCCCTATCAGCTGTTACGCAGCTCACGGAAGCAGTGCAT